GTGCCCTCACTCCACCTTCTGAGCCAGAAGTTGTACAGCAACCAATGAGTCAAGCAGCTGTTACATACAGCGCTGGTGTGTTTACGGACTCAGTGGGTGCAGGTATTGGGTCACTTATTGCCAATTGCCTTAACTATAGGATAACTAATTACTGTTATCATAATATAAAATTTGGCCAGATTATTAAAATAATTTCACAGAAACAGATCACACAAAATCAGCCAATAGTGATTTTGATGGGTGATAGTACAGGAGTAAACAAGCGGGATATAACTGATGGTATCAACACCTTATTAAGACTAAACACAGGGAATATAATGTTATGTGCATTCCCATATGCTGACACTTTGTCACAAAGTGAAAATAGTAGAATTCATCATCTGAACAATTTAATATTTTTTTTGACCTCTAGTCATAGTGACAAATTATCATTTTTTGACACTAACAAATTTGTTAGTGGTTTTAAGTTGACCCGGGATTATATGTATATTCCCAGGAAATGTAAATTATTAATTGCTAGTTTGCTAGCAAATAGTATTAATTTATTAATAAGTAGTTTTAGTGACAAAACTATATTGATTAGACAATCTAACAATATAGAGATTAATTGTACATACAATAGTACGAAGGAGGCTCCAGATTTATTGACAAATGTGGATGGCACTCCGGATAGTATTCTTTTAAACTGACTTCCACGACAACAGAAGATAACCAATTAAATTACTCAAAATCCACATTCATTGAAAAGGTTTCTTCTGGCAATATTATTAAGCATCAATTTAAAATAAAACATAAAACTAAATTAGATAACTTGTTGTCATTGTACAGTCAAAATATTCAGGGCTTATCATCAAAATTCTTAGAAATTGAATTGTTTTTAGAGAAATTCCAATATGATATTATTTGTTTAACTGAACATTGGTTAAAAGATTATCAAGTAGAAACAATTAACTTCAATAACTATTGTGTTGGCAGCAATTATAGCCGCCAAGCAATGATACATGGTGGTAGCCTAATTTTAGTAAAGAACTCAATAAAATATAAACAAAGACAAGACATTGCTCTGCTGTCAATTGAACACACAATAGAGTTGTCCTGTGTTGAGCTGGATAGGCATATTGTAGTATGTGTTTATAGGCCTCCTAACATACAGAATCTAAATATTTTTCGCTCTGTAATGGAAGATGTACTGCGGAAAACATGTTCTAGTAGTAAATGTACAATAGTATGTGGCGATTTTAATGTTGATCTCTTAGAAAACAATTCTCATTGTACAAACTTGTTAAGTCTCTTTCAATCATTTGATTTGTCTAATGTTTTCCTTGAGCCCACCCGAGTAACATCCACCTCGGCAACTTGTATAGATAATATTTTCTGTAATTGTGATTATTTACAAAGTGAAATTGTAAATAGATTACCATCTGATCACAGTGGGCTCACAGTTAACTTTAATACTATCACAACTGTGCCAAAAAAGGAAATATTGTTTAGACAAATCACATACAAAAAAATGTATTCATTAAATAATAAGCTAAAACATGAATTATGCAGCCAAGTACAAGACAATAATTGCCCGAGTGAGATATATGCAAATCTATTATCCCTTATAAAAATACAATTCGATAAACTATTCCCTTTAAAACGTAAAAATATTCAGTGTAAATTTGTATTCTGTGACTGGGCTACACCAGGTATTCGTATAAGTAGAGACAGGTTATTTGAGCTATACGGCCTGAAACCATTTAATAGTAGCGAGGCTTTTCGCAGACACGTTTCCAAATATTCAAAAATATTTAAAATAGTATGTAAGCATGCTAAGTCGCTCCACATTAGTAATAAAATCAGGACCGCGGAAAACAAAATAAAAGCTACCTGGAATATAATTAATAAAGAAACAGGTAGAAATAAATCACAAAACACTGAATTTAATTTAAAAACCGAAAAGGGATATACTAGTTCAAATTCGTCAGTTGCCCAGGAATTCGAAAGATTCTTTAAAAAGATTCCTCTTAAAACTACGGAAACGTTAAAATCATCTCCAGCTCTTTCTGTCGAGCTTCTCAGGGGTAACGTCAAAGAATGTCCTTCTGAGTTTAGCTTTCAATACACAACCCCCCAGGCAGTAATAAAGGCGTTCAATGAGATCAAAGTAAAGTCAACTGAAGATCTTTGGGGAATGTCTGTTCGAGTGTGCAGGTCGTTTATAGAGACTATTGCGCCGCACTTAACTTTGATTTTTAATAAAAGTGTAGATCAGGGGGTATTCCCGGATTTAATGAAACATAGTAAAGTAGTTCCATTATTTAAATCAGGCGATAGTACAGAACCTAATAACTATAGGCCGGTCTCTATTTTGCCAGTGCTCAGTAAAGTGTTCGAAAGGTTGATGCTTACTCAAATGCTGCGTCACTTTAACACGAATTCTATTTTCCATGACCATCAATACGGGTTCACCAAAGGACGTTGCACTACGGACGCAGGAGTATCACTTATAAAACAAGTTTTCAACTCGTGGGAAAAAGCACAGGATGCCATCGGAATATTTTGCGACCTTTCAAAGGCATTCGACTGTGTTGAGCACGAGACGCTGTTACTGAAGCTAGAACACTACGGCATTCGGGGGGTATCCCTAGATTTATTGAAATCATACCTTCAAGAAAGAAAAATTAAAGTACAAGTCAACAAAGTTAACTCACTGGGTGCTAGCGTATCTATGGGCGTACCGCAGGGCTCAATATTAGGTCCTTTTCTATTTTTAGTTTATGTGAATGACCTGCCCCATTTGTTCCAAAATGAACCGCATATGGTATTATTCGCTGATGACACTTCATTGATTTTTAAAATAAATAGACGAACAAACAAATATGACGAAGTTAATAATGCCTTAATGAAGGTTCAAAATTGGTTTACAATAAACAACTTATTACTAAATGATAAAAAGACTAAATGCATTAGATTTATTTTACCAAATGTTAAAAGAAACGTATGTGATGATATATTATTAAATGATCAGAAACTTGAATTTGTAAAAGAGACTACTTTCCTGGGGATCACTGTAGATGAGAAGTTGCAATGGGGGCCCCACATCAGGTCTCTAGCAGGACGATTGAGCTCTGCAGCTTATGCTGTCTGGAAGATCCGTCAGCTAACCGATGTAGGCACGGCAAGACTAGTGTACTTTAGCTACTTTCACAGCATCATGTCGTATGGAATTCTGTTGTGGGGACAGGCATCCGACGTTGAGTCTATTTTTATCTTGCAAAAGCGTGCCGTCAGAGCTATATATAACTTAGGTCGTCGCGAATCTCTCAGAGAAAAGTTTAAGGAGATCAACATTCTGACCGTACCGAGTCAATTTATTTATGAAAACATTATGTATGTTAGGAAAAACCTACACTTATTTGTAAAGGTATCTGACAAACATGATTATCATACTAGACATAGGAATAGATTGAGTCAGCCTTTATTTAGATTGGCAAAAGTGCATAAGTCATTTCTGGGTTTCTGTGTTAAATGTTATAATAAAATCCCAGTTGAAATTCAAAATCTAAATGAAAGCAAATTTAAATTATGTATAAAGAAACATTTATGTAAACTAGCATACTACAAACTAAATGATTATATACAAGATAAAAATGCTTGGAGGCTAGCTGGTCCTACTCCACAGGATGTTTAGAGGAATTTTTGATTTTAATTATTAAATTGTACACTATGTTGTTAATTGTTGATGAACTTCTAAGTTTTTGTAAATGTGAGTACCCTGTAACCTATTATAATTAAGTAAGACTTGTAGAATATAGGTACTTGTGTCGGCTGGGAGCTGTCATGCTCACTTAGAGGTCTCATTGGCGGTGGCACGGGCACTGGATCGCCCAATTCCCTATAATATGGTTGAGTTGGGCGGTGCTGGTGTACGTGTCATGTTCGTGAACGGGCGCCGCCTATTGGGACTGGTCATCTCCAGGCTGTCTAAATATGTTGTCCTTGAGGTTCACTTCTTTTTCGTACCTTTTGCCTGAACATTAGTGTTACATTGTTCTCACATATCAGAACCAACTAAATGATGTAACAAAGAAATGTATTGTAAAACTGATTGAAAAAGAGTAACCATGGAGTTTCTTGCTCGTTCTTCTCCATAGGAATCTACACTTTGGAACGAGCAAATAGCTTCACTAGAGGACAGACGGACAGACTGACATGCTTAATTTTAAAGCTCATGTTATATACTTTTTTTCTTTTTTGCTTGCTTGACGTTCAAAAGTGCCTACTGTGGTCTAATTGAAATAAATGATTTTTGACTTTTGACTTTTGACAATGCTATTATTTGGGCCTTCGTAGCCATATCAATATTTGAACGCAAACTCATAATTAAAAACTTGTTAAACAAATCGTAACTGAACTCGCTCAAATATAGTAAAGAATGTTATGATTGAACAAAAAGGTTTAATTTTTATACAGTTAATATTAAATTACCCTCAACTGTTTTGAGATTTATGATCGGGTTATAGTTGCTAAACAACTTCAATTTAATAAAGAGTAGGATAATTTCAATACGTTTCAAGGTTACGCAATGGCCTAATGGCTAGAGGCATTGGTAAATTTTATGCTACCGAGTTCGAATCCTGGTTATTGCGTGCTTTGCTTTAAAAAGGTTTGGAATATCGTAGCATTAATTTGTGTAAAAATTTATTAAGTTAATAACTTTGTATCTGATAAAAACTATAAACGTATATTTTTCAATACCACTAGTATACTAGCGCCATCTATGTCATCCATAGTATATTATAAAGGCGATGAAACGCCGTACAAACGATTTTGATTTGGAATCCTCCATGCACTTATGACACTGATAGTACGTAGTCTAGGCATTTTGAAACATATATTGCCAAAATTTTAAGAAAGTATGATTAAAACAATAGATTAGGTAATTCATTTGTAAATTTTTTTATTAATCACATGGTTTAGGTGTTTCGTAACTTCGTTATTCTTTGGTTTGCGTCTCAGTATGGATAGTTTCGGGCTGTGTTGACTCGGAATATTCCAGCCCTGCAAAGAAAAAAACATTTAGGTTGCATAGGTACATATTATTGATTTTAATTTTTCGCAATTAAAACTCATTTTTGGTCCTTACCGTGATTTGTTGATATCGCTGTTACCCATAGGGTTCAGAGAGCCTGTACATCTATTACGAGTAGCATCACTTAGACTTCCACATTCGTTGGCAAGGAGGTGGTTGTACTTTACACTGCTAGCCATGTACTCATAGGCACGGCCATGGGAACATGAAAGTGCGGTTGCCAAGCAGCCAGGCATGTTTGATCCACCATTAGGGTAAAAGTCAGCGTCTCCACACAAACCACTATATCCAGTCACTGTGGTTTCTGTGTGGATTACTTCGACGTAACGACCATCTGTCCTTACAATGCGGTTGCGGTCATTATCCCAAAGAGGGCCAGCGGGATCCAAAGCTGTAATGGAATACTCAATAAATAGACTGGTCACGTTGTATTTATACTTCAAATTGTGTTTAAAATATTTGACTACATACCTGTGATCCTCCGGACTCTAGACCCAGTCTCTCGCCCTGCGTTTCCGACCAGGTGACCACCAAGACTGAAACCTACTAAGTGTACTCTGTCGTATGACATTCCCAATCCATTGAGCCAGATTATGAATCGACCGAGCCCTCTTCCTACTTCAGCAGTTCCACCTTTTGCTGTGGTATAACCCCTGTTTGCTAATTGATTCCAATCGAGAACAATGACGTTGACATCGGCATTCTGTAAAAATGCTAAAACAAAAAAATACGTGATTAATTTAAAATTAATTCATTATCACTCGATAGATAAAAGTGTCAAATAATAATAATTTGTCACAATATCTGATTAGGAGATTTTTTTGTGCGACTGACGGGCTATGTGGGTTTTCAACCTAAAATATTGTTTGAAACAAATATCTTTAGGTAAAAGTGAAAAGTGATTGATAAGTGATATCAACTTATAAAATAATGTTGTGTGGAATAAGTAGGTATAGTTTTAGACATCAAACGTTACCTTGAGTAAGCATTCTATTCATTTCGTTTCCACCGTTGCCATTCCAGCCGTGAGCGAGAAATACCGTGATTTTTCCGAAGTTAAAGTTCGAGTTCGTTACCGAATTTCTATTTCCGTTTACTAAGACTTGGCGTGAAGTAGGGTTAGACCTGAAAATAAGAATCATTAAACATATCACCATCAAATTGTAATTATAGCACCATCACTAACTTGCATTTGGTGAATAAGGTTGATGTAGGTATGTTTGTTAGGGTGAAAGTGCGGTTCCAAAACGTGAATATCAAATGGAATTATAATTGCTAGTCCACCAAAGCAAAGGTGGTGATTAATGTTCATTCCTTATTGTGACAGTCCAGTAGGCTCTTAAAGGTTGATGTTAATGATGGTGATGGACAAGATTTTTTCATTGTATATGAAAAGTAAGTTTACATGAAATACTATCAAAATAAGTAACGAAAAATAAATAAATAAATAATACATTCCAAACATAGAATATACATATAAATTATTTCGTATGATATACTCTTATACAGATTTAGATAATGAAAACTATAAATAGAAAAATTACCTGGTAAAAAGCCAATATGCATTGTTGGCAGAATTCCTACTGTATTCTTCGATGAATTTAGTGTCAGCTGGCTCCTCAGTATCAACAAGATGAAGTGAGTCGTCGCCATCTCCTGGCATGAGGATAAATCTGTCACCTTCCTTGGAACCCGGTAAAGGGTCTTTGAGGACGCCTCCAGCACATGCTGAAAAAATGTAAATGCATTTATTTAAATGTAATAACAATAGTTGTTAGTTTACACAGATTGTTGTTCCAGGTCTGGGTGTGATGTGCATGTGAAATTGTATGTTTGTAAACGCACCCACGACACAGGAGAAAATGCTAGTGGAACAACGTTCTTTTTTTGAAAATAAATAAAACATAAAATTGTTATTTTCAATGATTTTAAAGAAGTAGGTAGTAAATATATACATAATAATAAAATTGTTGTTACCTGTTATGACGAAAAAGAGCAGCAGTAAGCACTTCATGGCACCCAGGAGTGACACTATCTAGTCATTGTCAACGACTCATTAACTTTATATATCGTATGCGTGTAGATTTAATACCAGATACTGAGGTAATTATCCTGATAAAAACAATGCAGGTATGATTCTGAAAAAATATACAAATAACCTTATTTTTAACTTATTTTTAAGTTCAACTTGAAGGTAATGAACCATGGTACGTTTGAAATGGGCCTTAGGATTTTGTGGGCTTTGGAAATACTACTTGTATGTACATCGGAGTGTTAAAAATAATCTGGGTATATACGAAAAATTCTAATGTTGACTTTTGTTGGTGTATTTTTTTTATGTAATAGTTCGGCAAACGAGCAGACGTATTACCTGATGTTAAGCAATCAGCGCCGCACATGGACACTCGCAACGGAAGAGTTACGAGTGCGTTGCAGACCTTTTAGGGATTAGGGATTTGGAGATTAAGGGATTGGGGAGGGACCGGGGGAGGGAAAAGATTGGGCCTCCAGTACCCTCACTCACATCGCGAAACACGCTGTGGTTATTTCACGCCGGTTTTCTGTAAGGCCGTGGTATCACTCTGGTCGAGCCGGGTGAGTGATTCGCGCCGAAGCTTGGCTCATTACCCTTCAAATATTTCATTATCTCAAGTTTAACACCAGTGTTTTTAAATTAATGGAGAATTGATACAGAAATAAAACCTATTTACGAAATGACTATTGTATCCTTATAATAGGTACAGAGGACTTTGTACAAACAACTAACTACTGGGAATTGTTGAATCAAATTAGCGAGACAGTAAAATTATAATATGCTTATACATATGCTGCTTACACACACAAATATCATAATATGCTTACCGACATATCGACGATTTCTTAGCTTATAACTCTCGGGTTGAGGCATTCAATTGTATGCTTTATCATAGCCATTAAATTTCACAGTTTGCTACAATATACGATTCCAACTTAAACCACACTTGCGATTATGACTTGTTTGTAAAAGTACAAAGGAATTCAATTGTATTAAAAACGTATTTCAACATTTGTAATTTTATAAACATACATGAAACATTAGAGTATAAAGATGATGTAGGTAATAGACCAGATCCAGAAATAATTTTCTTTCGGGCATACACAATCCACATATAGAAGGAAAAATGGCTGTCTTTAAATAAAAATCGCATTTTTTGGTTTGAAAAACGCAGAGACTACAGCAAGGAAAACATTGATAAGTTTGTTTCATGTATGGCTGCTCTTTCTTTTGTTGAGATTTTTTTCATCAATGCTCAGACGTCGATGACGCATTTGATGTTTTTCATGATAATTTATTCTGTAATTAATGTTTTCCAAAATCAAATGTTAAAATTACGAATTTTAAAAGACTTATAATCCTCATACTATTTTCCTAAATCCAGTAGATAACGAAGATATCTGTAATATAATTAATTCTCTTTACAATACTAATTCTTCAGGATATGACGAAATAAGCACAAGTGTCCTGTAAAAAATTGCCAATCTCTTATCATCTCCAATAAATCATTTGATAAATTTTTCTTTTTTTATGGTATTTTTCCGACACGCTTAAAATACAACATAATAAAGGCATTCTTTAAAAAGGCGATAAATGCCACCTGTTCATTTGTTTTTATTGTATTTGTTTGAGAGTTAACTAGAAAAGTTACTGATAATATACCGTTCGAGCAATATCGTGGTGGCCAGGACGTTAAGGCGCCTCTTATGAATGAGCTCGAAACCTAGTTTTTCCGAGTTTTTAAGTTTGCAAGATTATTTGAACATCGTTGACAAGCGATGAACAATAACTTTAGCTAACTCTAACACTACTTATATATTAAGTTAGTATTCTTATGAATCACTAGCGGCCCTCCCCTGTTTCTCCCGGGTGTCAAAAATTTTCATGGTAGTGACAAGCCGATTATCACCTCTACTTAAATCAATCCAGTGACAGCCGTGGTTGAGATATGCAAGTAGTTAATTTGGATTGCAGTCATTTATTTGATATGCAGTAGATTATTAGTGGACGAATTTTGTTTACTTTTCCTAAATAGAGGCGCATTAAAAAAAAAATCCATACTTTATCTATCAAAATGTTGCGGTCAATTTAGTTCAACTCGCAAGTGTAGCGCTAGTGTAGTACTACTGACAGTGGATTCAGATTCGAAGTTTAGTATGAAGTCTTACAGAATCACACTGCAGCCGTCAATTTCTCTCGGAATGGAACCAGTACATATTGTGTTGTGTTAATAAATACTTAACACTAATTTAAAGTTCAATAGATGAAAAGAAACGATTATTTTGTCCAACTCCCAAACTCTTAAAGAGGCAGTACGCAAAATGAGTTTTTAAACATCATGTTTTGCATTTATCAATTTGTTTTATGTATTTATAGGCATATTTAAAATATAAAAAAATAAAACAAAACTTTATCATATTTTTAATTATTTTCTTTATAAATCGAAAATCACGTTTGGAATTTCATTATTATTTCCTTTATTCCTTTTAGTATGGGTAGTTCGTTCGCGTGTTGACTCTGAATATTCCAGCTCTGAAAGAAAAAAACGATTTAAGTAGTTTGAATACTTTTGACGTTACCTTTTTATAATTCGTAGTCATTTATTGGTATTTACCTTGACTTGTTGATATCGCTGTTACCCATGGGGTTTAGAGAACCTGTGCATCTATTATTCTTAGCATCATTAAGACTTCCACATTCGTTGGCAAGGAGGTGGTTGTACTTTACACTGCTAGCCATGTACTCATAGGCACGGCCATGGGAACACGAAAGTCCAATGATCGAGCAGCCAGGCATGTTTGATCCTCCGTTAGGGTAAAAGTCAGCGTCACCACACAAATCGCTAAATCCAGTAATTGTTATTTCTGTGTGAATTACTTCTACGTAACGAGCGTCAGTCCTTACTAAACGATTTCTGTCATTGTCCCAAAAGGGTCCAGCAGGATCCAAAGCTGTAGTAGAATACTCAATAAATTTACTGGTCACATTCATTCACGCCATTAAATACTAATAAATACTAAATTTACGTAAAAAAAAATCTGTAACGCCAACTGTAATAGGTACATCACGGTTGTAATTTTAAGTTTACGAAGAGCTAGGGCCTGAACATAGGCAAATTTTGTCTAAAAGGTCACTTCAATCACTAGATGTAGATGTAGATATGTGAAACGAATTAAATTATTTGTATTGTACATTGTATTTCTACTTCAAATTGTGATTAAAATATTTGACTACATACCTGTGATCCTCCTGACTCTAGACCCAGTCTCTCGCCCTGCGTTTCCGACCAGGTGACCACCAAGACTGAAACCTACTAAGTGTACTCTGTCGTATGACATTCCCAATCCATTGAGCCAGATTATGAATCGACCGAGCCCTCTTCCTACTTCAGCAGTTCCTAATCTCGCCGTGGTATAACCTTGGCCCGCTAACCGATTCCAATCGAGGACAATAACATTGACATCAGCATTCTGCAAAAATGCTTAAAAAAAAAAGATTTATCAGCCATTATTTTCCTTCGGAAAAAGTAGGAATGTTTACAAAAGTATCGAATGTATGTAGCGCTGTCGTTATTAGAATTAAATGTTACCTTGTGTGAGCATTCTATTCATTTCGTTTCCACCATTTCCATTTAAGCCATGCGCGAGGAATACCGTGATTTTTCCAAAGTGAAAGTTTGAGTTTGTTACCGAACCTGCGTTTCCCAGTACTAATACTTGACGTGTGGTAGGATTAGATCTGAAAATGATATAAAAATTGTTGTATTTAAAAATTAATTTCTGCTTACTTTTTCAAATTGAAATTCATTTTTTATATTTTGTACCTAGAACAAAACCATTAACATCTTTTTTTTGGCACGTCAATGATAAATGTACAAAAGTCCAGAGGTTATTTTTTTGTTTCGTCCGGTATTAGTTGGCGCACAGACTTTAAGCCTGGCCACAAAGCGACATAAAATTAGCATTAGTTTTCACTTGTACCTTGTAAACAGCCAATATGCGTTGTTAGCGGAGTTTCTAGTATATTCTTCAATGAATTCCAAATCAGCTGGTTCCTCCGTGTCGACAAGGTGGAGAGCGTTGTCACCATCTCCCGGGAAATAGAAGTACCTGTCACCTTCTTTGTAACCCTGTACGGGGTCTTTGACGACTCCTGCAGTACACGCTGAAAATGGAAATGCTTTAAGAGATGACGCCAATGTCGATATTTTGTATAATATTGGCTTATTATAATATATCGTTTAGAACCACACATGCTTAGTACATGAGTATATTTAAAAGGAAAGCTAGAATAGGTTAGCTTCCAATTAATTTAGTTAGTCACTGGATATTTTAGTCTTCTGACAATGAAGGCGCAATTTTATCTTCTCGTCGAAAAAAACGACGATCGTCCTCGAAACGATACTTTTCAATTGAAAGAACTGCTGAAATTAAATAAATTAAGACCTAAATATTTCCAGTCGAGGTTGTGAATGCAAGTACAATAATGCACAATGGCTCGGCTCGGAGCAGAAAAAGAAATTTGGCGGGTTTTGGAAAGTTCTTTTCTGTCGCCATATCATAAACGCACAGAATAGATTTTAATATAGAGATGATTGTTTTTGCCATCAGTGTAATAACGCGATAAATTATTGCATTAAATGAAGCGCAAAAAGCGCAGACTGACAAAGAGCAAAAAAAAAAATTATTTTTTGTTTGTTACCCGAAATGGCGATAAGCAGCAGCAACAAGTGCTTCATGGCGAATAGAGTAACACTTTCTAGTTTGTTAATTAACCAATAATCTTTATATATAGTTTTTCCGTAGATTTTAATACGAGATATTGGTATTACCTACTTCTATACTGATTAAAAATGATACATATAAAGTAAAAAACCAACAATCTTTATTTAAGTACTGACAATTTTGATTTCTTTTGATTGATAAAAATATAGTCGAAATATAATAAAGAAAAATAATTAGGGGGCTTAAAAGTTGGCGGACATGGTGGATCATTCGGTGGCGGTGTGCTTTGCTCGGGATGAGCTGACTGCGAAGCAATGATGATCGCAAAAGAGGAGGAAGAGCGCGTGAGCGAATGTATCAGTCGCTGCATTAGCAACACTCCGAGCATCGGGGATCGACAAATGATCTCCGGCCACCGTAAGGGTAGCTCGCCGTCCGACCAGAACCAGACTTGTGAGAGGGGAGGGTAGCATTCCGCGCGCGCCTCAAAGCGCCAATAGATCAGCAGAGATGGGATCGAATATGGCCGATATTTAGCCGGGATTGCGAGTCAATCAATAAAATACCGCGGCATCAGGTTAAGACGTAGAATAATCTACTACTTAAGCAAGTCTAAAGTCGGCCATCGTGAGGAAGGTGGTCGACAGCGCCGAATGGCCCGCGGTGGTGTCCTTCTGCGAGGACGTGATCTCGCAGAAGGAAGTTGCTGAGTGGGAGAAGGAGATCTCGACTGCCGTTCCCAGCCGCAGAAGGCGCGCCGGGCGCAGGACAAGGGCTGATAACGCCCTTTGCCGTACCCTATGAATGGGTCTAGGGGCGAGGTTCTTGGGGAAGACCCGTCCCCTATTCGGTAGGCCCGAGGCGGAGGCATGCGCGGGTGACAGCGCACGCCTCTTAGGTAATGCACGGGGTAGTTAAACATCTCACTACCCCGTGCAGGAGGCGAGGCCCAGACTGAGTAAGCAGATACTAGTGCAGGTTTGCGGAAGAATGTGGATTCCCGTGAGGCCGTGACCACAGGTACAAGTAAAAGGAAACACCGGCGGGTTTCACCCGGTAAGAGACCGACAGGCCCCTCCGCCTTTCCCCAGGCGGAGGTAGTCCACGAGGATTTTCCTCTGTTAGAAAAAAAAGGTAGGGAAGGTAGGTAGAGGGAGAGCCATGCTTCGGCACGAATGAGCCGGCTCAACCAGAGTGATACCAAGGCAACCTGAGGCCCAATTCCTTCTTCCTCCCCTAATCCTCAATCCTCAAATTCCTTAAGCTTAAATCTTTATTAATTATGAAAAGGAGGGTACTGTAGTTAGGTAGTGTAGGTAGGTAGGGAAGGTAGGCAGACATAATATTGTTGTTGCATCATTGAAATGAATCCATATGCAATCCATAAATAAATCGCTAAAAGTGGCACTACGCGCTTCTCTCGAAAACCGCAGACACTCTATGAAAAGGAGGGTAATGTAGATAGGTTAGGTTAGGTAGGCTGGGAATGTCAAGAGATGATCTCCAACCACCGTAACCGCGGGTCTGCGGACAGCGAGTTAGAGTAGCTCGCCGCCCGACCAGAACCAGACCCAAGCGTACGGCGCGTAGCGTCCCGTGCGCGCCTTAAAGAGCCAATAGACCACCACAGACGGGACCCTAAAGGCTGATGTTCTGCCGGGGTTGCAGGTTAAGCGTAATGAGTCACCGCGGCCTCGGCCCTTCGCCTCCTCTCGCCTTAACCTGGGCGGGAGAAGTTATTTTTTGATTTTCCATTTGAAAAAAAAGGTAGGCTGGGAATGTAGGGTAGGTAGGTAGGGCAAATAAATGAGGTAGTCAGGGTAAGTGTACGAAGAACACCGCGAAAGAAAAATGTATGAACAGGCTATCGAAACACCCACCTTAATAATTTACATTGTTTTTGTTCAACATTTTCTTTTTATTTGTGAAGGGTAAATTTTAGTTAGTTTAATTAATATTTATTTTTAAACTAGCTTCCCCCCGCGGCTTAACTCGCGTGGTATGTTGATAAAAAGCCAATGTGTTAATTCAATCTACACAAAAAATTTCGACCAAATCGGTCGAGTAGTTTTTGTGTGAATAACATTACATCCTTATATTTTAAGAATAACATTACATACATCCTTATATTTTCACAAACGTTCTCATTTATAATATTAGTAGGATATTAGGATTATTAATAATCGCATAATTATTAATATCGTTGAAACATTTTTGCACCTGCACTTAAAAACCGCTTTAATGGCAGTAGGTACTATCAAATTGGCAAACAATATAATGTTACTGATTTCTAGTTCTCGATGGGTCCTTAATGTATATGATCGTTAAGATACCTCTAGTTTGGTTAACATTACTAAGATATAAGTTTATCGCTTATAATTTACATTTTATATTCGCGTGTTTTGGTCTAATTGGGATTTAAGTACTAGTAGCGGTTTAAGGTGTGTTTCAAGGATGCAATTGACGATATAAGAAAAATAAAAAGAAGAATAAAATGTTAAATATTTTATTAACATTACATTACATTACACTGTACAGTTATTCAACAGCTTTTAACAAAACCATTTAATATGGATATCTCCTGTCTGTGTTTACTCTGAAAATACCCGTCCTGAAACAAAAATTAAATTCATGAATATAATGAAGCTTCCAGCGACTCCGAAATTAGATCGTATTCAATCATATTGAGTAGCAGATTGCTCTAAAATACCTATTACATTTTTGTGGGTGGTCTATATGTACATATACAATATGTAGGTTGACTGGTTATTATTTAAACACGTGATTGTACTTATGATAACAAACAATTTTCTCAAAGAAACTTTTGTTGTATACATACTCTATAATTTTATTTTTAGTACTATAATAAAATTACTGTGCAAAGTTCCAACGGTTGTAGAGTGTTTTTTTTAAAGCAGGAAATGTTATTTTCTTCTTTTACCAAGAGTGGGCAAAATGGAGTCTCAAAATCTTACAGGCTATAACCCAAAAAGGTCCTTCTCCTGCTCTAAATGCTGAGCATCATTGCACTTGCTCTCGCTACCCAGATAGATTGTTAGATAGTTCCTCACCTTGACTTTGATAGATCCGCGTTACCCATAGGATTAAGGTCTCCTGCACATCTGTTGCGAGTAGCATCACGTAGGGTATCACATTCATTAGCGAGAAGGTGATTATACTTCACAGAACTAGCCATATACTCGAAGGCACGGCCATGAGAGCAAGAGTTTAGCCAGCACCCTGGCATCCCAGTTCCTCCATTAGGGTAAAAATCAGCGTCTCCACATGGGTCAGTAAATCCCAAAAAGCCAGTATTAGTATGAATTACTTCAACATATTGAGCGTCTGTAGCCACTACGCGGTCATTGTCACGACCCCATAAAGGTCCAGCAGGGTCCAATGCTAAAATCAAAAGTAAATTAAAATTGTTTCTCTCGTAAAACTTTTTTTAGTGGAGTGTATAATTTATTTGCTTTACCTGTAACTCTCTTGACCTTTCCTCCTGTTTCTCTACCAGCATTTCCAACAAGATGACCACCGAGACTGAACCCGACTAAGTGTACTTTTTCATACGACATTCCCAAGGAAACAAGCCAGTCTACAAATTGACCTAGTCCTTGACCAACTGCAGCAGTTCCACGTTTTGCTGTAGTGTACCCTCTGTTGGCTAATGTACTCCAGTCGAGAACTATAACATTCACATCCCCATTCTGGAGGAATGCTGTAAAAATAATGCATTTTAGACAGTAGAAAAAAAATATTTGATTTTTATTTGAATTATAGAATCCTGGTAAAGAGTCCTGGTAGAAAGTAAACTAAACAAGCATATCATAGTAACTTTTACTAACAAACCTTCAGTTAGAATCTTATTCATGTCGTTTCCACCATTACCATTCCATCCATGCGCCAGAAATACTGAGTCTTTTGAAAAATCAATATTAGAATTAATAACAGAATCGACGTCACCAAACCCAATGACTTGGGCTACCGTAGGATTAGCCCTGTAAATCAAATATTTTTTTTAGTATCATAAAATTTATATTCTGTGTTCTTAATTCAAAAGAACTTTTATATGTGTCAGCCTGTCTTTACCTGGTAAAGAGCCAATATCCGTTATTGCCTGCATTTCTAGTAAATTTTTCAATAAATGCAAAGTCTATAGGTTCTTCAGCATCGACAAGGTGAATGATGTTGTCGCCATCTCCCGGGAAATAGAAGTACCTGTCGCCTTCCTTGTAACCCTGTACAGGGTCTTTTAGGACGCTTGCAGCACAAACTAAAACAAGAGCAAAAATTTTGTTAGCGTTAGTTAACTGTTTCATTCTTTGGTTGTTTTCTACAAACTTTTAAATAGTCACGAGTACCACCTATACTTACACTAATATTATAAAGAGATAAAATTTGTAAGTTTGTATGTAGGGGCTAATCTTTGGAACCGCTGGTCGGATTGCTAAAATTCTTTCACTGATAGATTGCTACAATGTTCCTGAGTGCTATAGGCTATAAAACATACTAAGATGAAATGAAGCTGAGCAGCGGGTGAAACCCTGGAGAGTAGCTAGTGTCAAATAAAATGAAGATCAGTTCATACTAGTAATAAAGTGAGCAGCTTTATGGCTTGTAACTCTTATACTAGTTATTCTTAGTGTAACATTTCTTGTTACTCTTACTGGTTACTAACAATGTCCATTATTAAAAAAAAAGAAACTGTAGGAACTTTAACAGATTGCTACATAAAGTTGACTTATACACTAATTTACCTGCTATAGCGACGGATAATAGCAACAAGGTCTTCATAATACTCAAGAGTGGCACTATCAACTAGTCGAATAACTATGAAGTAATTATTTTTTATTAGTTCTACGTGTTATATATATATGATGAAACCGTGTATTTTATCGTGATACATGATCAAATTATTAGGTTTTATCGAATGTTGAAACAGTATCAGATTTTCTAGTTTTATCTTAATTTAGGTGGCTTATTCATATGTAAACAAGCCTATGATTAATCATTATAAAATTTCCAAACATGGTGTATTAATCATTCAGGTATTGAGATTGATCGATATTTCCATTTATAGTTAAATTGTATGTTTCTGCAACTTCGAAACTTGTGTAAATTTTACTGAAAGCTATCGAACATTTGATGTTTTGCCAACATTTTTGTAGATTCTGAATTACAGTTGTCAGTAATTTTTGACTGACAACAAATACGAACTAATATGCTTTTATTTTACATATGCGTGTATTATCTAAAACAATGACGTTGGCGAGCTTTTGACTTACCGTGTATTACCGTGTAGTACTTACTTGTATCTCATTGATCTGTTTAGCACCTGTCGTATGTAATTGATAGGACCTGTCGTATGCAAACGGAAAGTAACATCTGTGATTAAATATCGTAATCGTATTTAGTTAGCCTTATTTGAATTGCCTTGAAAAGCAGTGGCCTAGGTTACAAATACAAGGTCTAATGAAAGATAGGAAACGTTGTAGTATATTACAATCTTACGATGCATTGGTATGGCAGTATGTTTTGACAAAAAAGAAATGGTCCTATATAATTTCTAGGATCCTGGATAAAGGATAGCGTTACGAATTCGGTTATAAATCGTAGTATTCTTATTGAGTTTATTGATTTTAAGAATTCTCTGTCGTTAAGTTAGTCGGCGCATGGTAATCGACTAACAGACATAACATGGTTTTTATAATAAACCTAGCAATATGTAGAAGATACAATATAACGTTGTATTTAATACGTAAAATGCGATCACTTGGAATTAATACTTTTTAAACTATTTTCATTTTTTTACTTGCAATAAACTAGTGCTTGACTGCGAATCTGCGATCCCACCTGGTAGTAAGCAGTGATGCAATCGTTGGTGGTAAGGCGCACTAGTTTATTAAGAGCCTATTCACTCTAGCCTTGAAGACACCTAAATTATATTTGGACGGAAAGACTGCAGCCGGCAAACTGTTCCAATCTCTCGATGTCCGCGGTATAAATGACGAGGCAAAACGCTTAGTCCGGGCCACAGGTGTCTCAACAACGTAAGAGTGGATATTTGCCGTACGCCGGGATGTCCGAAGGTGAAATTGGGATGGCGGAATCAAATCGTGCAATTCCTGCGCACACTCTCCAAAATGCATCCTGTAGAAAACCGCAAGGCTGGCTACTCTGCGCCTGTGCTCGAGACTTTGAAGATTGGAACCCAAACCCAACCAAATCTGGATCACCAATCAGCCTCTTTGCACGCTTTTCCACTGAATCCAAAGCCACTAGGTGGCATTTTGCAGCACTAGCCCATATGTGGCTGCAGTACTCGACACACGATCGGACCTGTGCTTTGTACAACATAAGAAGTTGACTCGGTGTGAAGTACCGTCAGACTTTTGCAAGAACGCCGAGTTTTCTAGCAGCTACCTCGGCATTGGACTCAATGAACCGCGAAAGTTGAGGTCTGAAGCAATGTCCATTCCCAAGAGCTGAAGGTGGTCGGTGCATTCCAGGAATACATCCCGAAAAGCAGGACCCAAGATGAACGGGCTCCTTTTGGCGGTGAATAGACACGCCTGTGTTTTGGTGGCGTTGAATGCTACCAGATTAGCTTTGCCCCACTTGGTAACTGCCTGAAGTGAGACATTCGTACGCTCTACGATAGCCTCCCTTTCAGACTGGATTAGCTCCTTACTAGCCCGAGCACTGGGCAGTTATCTCTCTACAACTAACTACGTAAATATGTACTTCTTTTGGTGGGGAAAATTATTAAGTGTATTCTATTCGCCCATGGTGAGGCGGGAGGGAGTGTAAGAGTTTTACTAATAACGTTCCTTTTTTTGCTCCAAGGCCGAGGCTTTGGTATTGCGCTTGCCCCGCAACACCCAACTCAACATCGACCCTGTTGGGCGCTGTCTGTGGTGGTCTACCGGCTCTTTAAGGCGCGCACAAAACTCTACGTGCCATACTCTCGGGTCTGGGTGTACTCGCCGTCCGAAGACCCGCGCTTAAGGTTTCAAATTAACTTGTTACCTATTTTGAGTTCAGTAGTTTGTGGCTCGAACTTTTAATTTCATTCGGATATAACATTTACATATTCAATTCATTCAGACGCTTGTTCGTTGCTATATGTCACTGAGAATAACAAGAGTGGAATAACGTTGGTTATTGATAATATCTCATAGGTAGTGTTTTTAAATGAGCTGATTGTGTAATTGATAAAGTCAAAACGTTTTGTGATTTGATTGCATGGTCTGATTTATGACGACTTTGATTTTAAGATAACATACAACTTATCGATTTGGAAAATCCCGTAGCAAGGGACCTGGGTTTTCATTCATAACAGAATTGTTCACAATAGTAGGTATATTAAATTATATAATTTCATGAACAAAAGTGTTTCGAACTTGAATAATGTGTACGGATTTAATGATTAGATCGTTTCGTTGATTAGATAAAAGTCGCAGGTGTTTTTCTGTAATGTTAATTACCAAAAAGAAGATTTCCTTAAGGAAATTCGACTGCACAGTTAGGTTTTATTAGGCATCGAACATGCCGCACAAATAACAAGGTACAATAATAGAAGAAAAAATATAATACAACAAAAATAAACAAAAAGAACATAGCAAAAAGAAATGCCACAATGTCAAGTGTTATGGTTAATTAACGAAAAGAAGGTTCTTAACGTACTAAAACAAACAAAAACGACAAGATGTTGCCATCTCAGTATAAGTTGGGCTCAGTGAGAATACTGGTACCTGGTAAATGGTAAAAAAGGGAAAATAAATAAAATTTATAAAATAAATAAATCAAAACCTAAAAAATCAAACTACTATAATATTTAATAGTGGACCATTTTAATATCTCAGTTTGCGATTCATCTATAAAAAAAATCTCCGCACCGTACTAAGTCGTATCTTGTGGAGAATTAAGGGGTTTTTCAGCTGGGGTTGCGGGGTGAGCGCAATCAGGCACCGCGACTCCGGCCTAGAGCAGGAGAAGGAACGGGGAGGTTTTTAGTCAGTAAAAGTCTGACACTACGGGGCGGGAGAAGTCATTTGATGATTTTGCCCTCACAAAAAGGGGGTCTACCCTTAGTTGTAAACATGCGGTTACAAAACTGCCGTGTAATACGTTACTTGATTAACTCATATCACTTAATATATCTCGATCTGAACGAGCAACCAAATTATCGTGGTAGATGTATGCAATGGAAGAACTTGACAGTCTACAGGATTTACAGGTGAGATTGTAAGACATTTTATACACTGTAAAATGTAACATAAATGTCAAATACAGAATAAGTCATGTCAAGTAAAAGAAAAGTCAGTGTTAAAATGAATTCTTTAAGCTTACTCATGAAACTACATAAACTTTGCAGGTTCCTAATTGGCTACCCGGAAGACACGGTGGAGCATACGGTGGCGGTATGGCCCTGCTTTGGCCAAGAATCACAGTGTACTCAGGGAAGCGATCGGCAACGGTGACCTTTCGCGTCCTGCTTTAGTCGAACCCATGTTTCGAAGCGCGAGGAATTGGGAAGCCGCCTCCTCTGTCTGCGAAGCAGTGATGCTCTCAAAGGAGGAGGCGGAGTGCGCGAGGGAAATATCCTCCTCACCTACTGTAGTCGCCTACTGTAGCGGTTGGGGCCAACCGCTACAGTAGGCGACATTCCGGGCGTCGGGGATTAAGCGATTACATAATATCCGGCCACCGAAAGCACGGAGCGTTCGGCGCGCGGCTCAAAGAGCCAAAAAATCACCACAGACGGGACCCTATAGAACCGATGTTCAGTCGGGGTTACGGGAAAAATGAAATATGGTGGGGAATTTTTTGTCATGGTGGGAACGCACGGTATGAAAAATACTCGCATAGTGTTGAGGAAAGTTACCGGACTTAGAAACCCCCCCCCCCATTACGAGCAACTCTGTTGTAATTTATCTGGTGGTTATCTTCGTATTTGACTGCCTACTACATTTTTTATGAGAGAATAACGTTGTATAGAAAACTATTTAAAACTAAGCAATTATCACTGCTAATTTTATTATATTGGCGTTTCTGAAGCTTCCTGTTGTGTTCAACGTATAGGATTTGTTTTATTTTACGTCATCATAACCCATATATCTTAATCCGTTGATTAATTAATTGGTATGTCATCAATAACAAACCGAGGACGTTTTTAATTCGGCACGTAATTTTTATCCAGATAGGCATAACTTGTTTTTTTTGGTAGGTAGAGAAGAAGAAGTTCCAAGAAGTCTCTAGAACTTTTGTGTTCTACGTATTTCTTATAACGGATAACTAAAAAAATATGGCTCTTTTTTCTTTTGCTATATATATTGGGCCATACTTGTGACGTCACATCTTTCTTATAAACTTTTATTGTTTCTCTTATTTTAGATTTTTGTTATTTTCAGCGAAGCCGCTTTCTTCAACTATTTTACTGAGACCATTAATAAAATAAAGGGTTTTCCAAAACGTTTGGGGTGCCTCAAGGCAGCATTCTGGGACCTTTACTCTTTCTACTATTTATAAATGGCCTGCCTAAAGCTACCAATCATCAATGCGTATGAATCAATGTTTCCTGATGATATATCGCTTGTTGTGACACATAATTCCAACGCAATAATTTAAAAGGCACGGTTAAAGATTGCGGTGGAATGTATATCAAATTGGCTAGATAATAATAAATTATGCATCAATATCTCCAAAACGAAATTCATGAATTTTTCAAACTATAATTCAAAAGCTAGCCAGAGTGGTACAAGTTTATCATGCAGGGGGCATAATATTGAACTAGTTAATGAAATGAAGTTTCTCGGCATTGTGTTGGACAACCATTGCAACTGGAAGGCACATAATAGCTATATATGCAAAAAAATAATCAATTTTGTATTTGGGTTAAAAAAGTTAAAACTGACTTCATCACAGAAAACTGCATTGTTAGCGTATCATGGCTTCGTTGCCCCTTCTTTAAAGTATGGGCTTCTTTTGTGGGGAAAACCTGACGATATTAAACGAGCATTCATAACCCCAAAAATGCATAAGAGCAATATGTGGAGTTGGGCCCCTAGTATCATGTAGACCATTGTTTAAAAAACTTAGGTTACTAACTTTAACTGGACTATACATTCTTCAAACTGGTAAATTTGTTAAAGAACAACGTAGGCATTTCCCACAAATGTTCAATAAATTAAACTCGGCTGTAAATAAAACCGTTTAAAAAAAGGGACCCCACTCTTTTGCTAATGCCACCATGTAAGACAGCCTACTGTCAAAAGAACTGTAAACTGTACTACCTAGCCTACTGTAAAAATATACTTATAATAAATTCCGAAATGTATCAGAGAGCTTCCTTTGAATTTGTTTAAAACTAAACTATGTAGGTGGCTAATAGAACATAGTTTTTACAACTTGAATGACTTCTTAAGGTGACATTTAAATCTTTTACTATAATTTTGACATTAGATACTAAAACAGAGACTATATTTGATTCAGGGATGTTATGGATATTAAATTTCGGTTACGGATAATAAATTATTTCGGATTATCCGTTAGTTTCGGTTACGTATATTATATTTTTAAGGAATTTTAAAAGTAAAATTCTTCGTACTTATCACTATATTGTGATTTAAGGTGAAGTTTTAGCGATGTAGTCCCACCTCCTTTCCTTGAAAAGCTTTTACCAAACTGTTTACATTTTGCGGAATCGGTCATTTCATCAAAAAACGAGCAAACTGCACTCGAATTAGGACGTATTTTGTACAAATTCAATCGATTCCGTAACACACCCAACACATTTGTCAAAGAAGAAAAAAAAAACAATGCGCGCAGCTTGTGTGTCGGCACTGGCAGCGGCCGGAAGATCAAAACAACTTGTCATAACGTGTCTCAATTAGGTTCCGCTCCTATCCGATACTATCCGAAACTCTAATTTCGGATTCGGTTACGGTTACGGATGACTTTTTATATCGGATATCCGATAGTTTCGGTTACGGTTACGGAGCTCCCTAACACCTCTGATTTGATTCATCTGATTCATGATTGATCTGATTTGGTAATCAATTTAAATGTGGGAGAGCCATGCTTCGGCACGAATGGGTCGGCTCGACCGGAGTGATACCACGGCCTCATAGGAAACCGGCGTGAAACAACCACAGCGTTTTGTTTCGCGGTGTGAGTGAGGTAACAATCCTTCCCCACCCCAATCCCTCCTCAATCCCTAAATGTCCTTTTCCCTAATCCCTAAATAGTCGGCAACGCACTCGTAACCCCTCCTTGCGGGTGCGGGTGTCCATCGGCGACTCATTGCTTACCATCAGGTAATCAATGAAACAATGAAACAATTTGCATGCCATCTATATTATGTTTTAATTCTAATCATTTTCATTTCGACAATCTAGACAGACTTCGATAATTAAAAAAATATTAACTACTATAATTTGCATAATCCATTATGTTATCGTAATATGTGAGGTGTTGTGATGACTTGTGACGAAAAAAATCCAACATCAAAATATATCGTGTTATTAGTTACATGAACGTATATTTGTTTTTACTGAAACCAAGTTAAAATGCCATGAGTATAAATATGGATGGATGGAGAGGGAGACGGAGACCAAAGAAAATATGGATGGATTGTGTGAGAAATGATATGGAAGACAGAGGAGTTAGTGATAGCATGACGGGTGACAGGACAGAATGGAAGAAAAAAACATATTGCGTCGACCCCAAATAAAACGGGACAAGGGCAGGAAGATGATGATGACTGAAACATCATAACTATATGAAGACATGCTTTCGCATTCGGTGTTTCTGCAGGATCGAGGTTTAGGTAGATCGAGGTTCATAACGTTGAAACTGCAGGAGTGATTAAACATATGCTGTAACGTCAGCGTGGGGTAGGAGACGGAATGATGTGGTTTTTAGTTAGTAAAGGTCATATACAAAGGGCAGGAGGAATCATTTGATTATATTCTCGATTCACTGATTTACAAGGCACCATAAGATCAAGGCACAAAATATTTAATTGAAGTTTTTATTCTTTTAAAAATGGAGTACTTGGATGGCTATATTTTATTAGATATCAAAATTGTCAATTGGATCTTGAATGCCAGCATCCAATTCTTCATCCGTTGAATTCTTTAGAAAGGCCATCTGGATCCAGTGCGTAGGCCAAAGATTCCACTTCTGCAATGAAACAAAAAAACGTTTGAAACGAAAATCATGAAATTATTATATGTTCAAAGTCTGTTTTGAATAGGAAACCTTGTTCAAGAATTTCGTTTTTAAAACAAGGCCATAAAATATGATTGGTAGGATGAAAAACTCAACCATAAAACACCAATTCGTGCAACAAAAATAATAATTCTATTAGGGTATAATACGCGGGATTTTTTGTAACATAGCAGTCTGTTGCTCAATCATTACACCACTGACTTGTTAGGTACCTATTTATGTAATTTAAAAAATAACTTTCTAGTTAATACGGTAATTTCATTAATCAATCATAATCCCTTGATCATTTTTCAACTTGTCATGTAGAGTTGTGACGTTGTTCACAGGTACTTATCAACATTTTGATAATATAAATAATAATCTCATTATTTTTGTATTTTTTTCTTATCTTATAATATACGGCACAGATCACCGCCATGGGGGTACTGTGGGCTTTAACAATAATTGAGGAATTAAATTAATTTGAGGTTATTATAAAATATTATAGAAGATTTTTACCTGATGCAAGGAAATTATTATAGCAAATAAACCTTTTTTCTTTCAATTTTTTGAAAGAAAAAAGGTCTCAAACAACATATTTGTTAGAACCTAAATTTTTAGCAAAGCACAAAGTTGAAAAATCATTCTTACCCTCGTTTGGAAATAACTGCGTTGCCCATATTTAGAGCACTACCAGAGCACTGATTGTTTTGAGCTTGTTGGATATTGGAACATTGCCTGCCGACAAAGTGATTGGTTCGAACACTAGATGCGAAGAGGTCAGGAGCTCTGCCGTGGGAGCAATCGCTGTTCGAGCAGCCTGGTTGAGGACTCCTACCGCCATTGGGGTAAAAATCACCATCAGCAATCCGATCGAAGATGCCAAGGCGACCACCATCAGTGTGGATAGCTTCGACATACTGACCAGCGTTTCTGTTTAGAGCATTGGAGTTTCCTCCCCATCTGGGTCCAGCTGGGTCCAAGCCTAGAAATAAATATTGTATACGTGTATTTTGTTACATAACGTTGTTTACATTTGCGTTGTTGTAATAATAACATTGTTGTATTTATTCTTGTCATTATTAAACGAATATAAAGATAAGTACATTAGAAATCAATCGTATTTTTACCTGTGACACGAGCTGGACGGCCTCCAGCCTGACGACCAGCGTTTCCTACGACATGAGCGCCCAAACTGAAGCCGACCAAATGTACGTTGTTCCAGTTTCCACCGCCAGTATTGATGAGCCAAACCAAGAAGTTTCCAAGATGTTGACCAATGCCAGGTACTCCGTTACTAGCAGTTATGTAGTTGGAATTGGCTAGGGAGCGCCAGTCAACCACGATGACATTAACATCTTGAACTGCGAGGAATGCAGATGTGATGAGGGGATTCATGGCGGAGTTTCCGTTGCTGTTCCATCCGTGAACGATCACCTTCAAGCCACGATTTGCGCGGTAGTTGGAGTTTCGAATGGAGTTTGCGTTACCGTTTACAATAATCTGGGCATTATTTGGATTCTGTCTGCATAAGAAAAATAGAAATTGAATTTTTAATAATGCGCAACCAAGAAATATTGACACAAAATCTGTAAAGGAAATTTACCTAGTAAACAGCCAATATTGATTGTTAGCGCCGTTTCTTGCGACGGCTTCCTCATCAGCGGGTTCATGTAAGTCCACTAAATGAGGTTTGCCATCACCATCTGGCATCCAGATGTAGCGGCTTTCACCCTCCATATAGTTACTGTTATCTCCGGGTACGATAGGAATGGCGCCACCAGCACATACTGAAAATAACAAATTTTAGGATATATTTGGTTTTACTACTGCTAGTAAGCATCACATCTTTTACGTGCAAAATCATTAACTCAAGATTGAAAGATGTTTCGGCACGAATGGATCCACCGTATCACAAAAAAACATTTTTGTGTCAAAGTTATTATCATTTTGTATTTTTGATAAATTTTAAGGCCACTTAATTTTCAGCAATTTTTCGACTATCTTATGAACTTATTTATGCCTTTTTTGTGAGGGATGATCATTTAATTACATCTCCCGTCCTTGTATTTGACTAAACCGGTCAACCCTGGTTCCCGGTCCTGTAGGGTCTGTAGGGTCCCATCTGTAGTGGTCTATTGTCTCTATGAGGCGCGCCTAGGTCGCTATCCCTACTCGCCCTCCGCAGACTCGCGCTTACGGTGCGCGGTGGCCAGAGATCATCTCTTGAATTTATTTATTTCTTATACGTTATACGTATAATCTTACATTGGTGAAAACATTGAATTATTATAAAAATATTGGGTATCTGACAGAAGCTAAGGATAAGCAGTAAGAAAAAAAAGTGGGCATAAAATAAACAAGCATTAGTGATTCATAATACATATCAAAACTAACAAGGGCGTATCCGCACACAAAAGAGGTTTATACATTAAAAAAATACTTACATGCAGTGACACTAGCCAGTACTATCAGAAACTTCATGATTATGGCTTCCAACTACAATAATCCATCAGCTTCAAAATAAGTATTTATAGTTGTCTGTTTATCTTAATTACATTTATTTTGCTTATAATTGTAAAGCTTGTATCTAATTTTGTATGATAATAATTTAAGTTGACTAATTATTGTGTAATAGGATTCCGTATACATTATACCTTTCTTGTAAGGGTAATATCTTTAAATGACGGGTGGGGTGACGCGAGAGGGAGTAACAGACTCTTACTGACTAAAAAACCCCGTCCTTCTCCTGATCTAGCCCAGTCTAGGCTGGGCTACCTTAATGCGCTTGCCCTACAACCCTTTAGGTATATACCTATGTATGTATATATATATATATATAGATTAACCCTAATGTTTAATTTTATTATATTAATGAATTATAATAATTATATAAACCTAAAAAAATGTTCCAAAGATTACTTCCTACATACAAACTTACAAACATACAAGCTTACAAATTTTACCTCTATATATGTATAATATTAGTATAGATAGTGATTGTTTCGATACAGAAAATCATCGTTATAACAATTTTATTGTATTGTTTACTTTAATCATTGCCATCACTAGTATTATTTCTTGTGTCAGGTGCATTTACCACATTCACAATGCAAACAATTGATAGATCATAAAATAAATAATATATTCAAATACACATCATACCCAGACTCGGAACAACGAGTGGTGCCGTGCAGCAATCGAACTCGCGACACGTTGTGCGGTAAACAGTTGTCCAGCCACCGCACCAACCGTACAGTCAAGATAGATATTTTGAGTTTTTTGACACATTTTATGCTTTACTTAAAAAAATATATTTTTAGAGCTACTTAGTTTCTTTCCTTTCCTTTCACGGAATCACAGGATCCCGGACCTGTGGAAGGCGTACGAGGAGCCGAAGCCAACTCGCAGAGGCCCGTTGAACAATTTTAATATAAATGTGATGGGACATCAGCCGGGAGCTACTTAGTTTTACTATTAGAAATCACACTATTGCACAACATTTGTAAAAGTTCTTTTCGGAACTATCTCTTGGAACTTGAATAAATTCTTTTTTATTTTTAACCGACTTCAAAAATAGGAGGAGGTTCTTCTCAATTTGTTGGTATCTTTTCTTTACATTTTTTTACTGACTTCAAAAAAAAGGAGGAGGTTCTCAATTCTTCGGGATCTTTTTATGTATGTTCACCGATTTAATTTTTTTTTTGTTTAGTAGGGTATGATTTCCAGTTGGTCCCATATTCACCAGGTCAGGATCTGATAATGGAAACCCAGGAAAAAGGAGGGGAACTTTAAAACTTTATAGCGACAGTCGGCATGATTCATATATTTTTTGAAGTTATTCAGGTATTTACGTCACCTTGCCGATGGTTGAACTTGACCTGATGATGAAGCCGGAAGACAGTCGAGGGATCTCCTTGACTGTTTGGAGTAATTGCCTTGTGTTTGGGCTTGGGCTTGAATAATTTGTCGTGGTGAGCACTTTGCACCAAGACTGGTGGTGGCTGTCATTAGGGGTCTTATGATGTGAACGAAGGACAGCTGAGGGAACTTCTGAACGGTTTACAGTAACTACCTCGTGTTTGGAATTAATTCTAAATGAATTCGATCTAAATATCGATGCAAACTTCGCGCCCATATGGGTTACAATGAAGTTAAACAGTAAATCTAATGACGGACCCGGGAAACCGTCGTGAGATCTCTTTGACTATTTTTAGTAATTATGTTGTGTTTGAACTTAATTCATTCATGTTGATGAGAACTTTGCACCTGATGGTGAAGACCATTGACAGTCGAAGGAATACCTCAACGATTTACAGCTCTAAACACTGACTAACTCAGGACTACCATTACCGTGATTTTCAGTCTCAAGTAGCCGTCGTCTTCTCATTCAAAAAGCCTTGCTTGCTCTGCCTATCACTTAAAATGGTGTAATAAAATAATTTATAACAAAAAAAAAAAAAACCGACTTCATTTGTGTTTAAAATAAATGTTTTTTTTCTTTCTTCAAATAGTAAACTAAAAAGCAAAAAATAAATTTTCTTTGTACAAAGTAATACATGTTTTCATTTAGGTAAATAGAAAATAATATTAATAACTATTTTTATAATCTTGAAGTCGGTGCCTAGTAAGTGCCAGCTGCCAAGTAAAACAATGATGATTAGTAGGTACCGATCAATACACGTTTCTAATTGTTGTTGTTTGGTATGTAGCATTTACTTGGTACCGACTTCAAGATTATAAAAATTTGTTCTTTCAACTCATTGACCATCGTACCTGTTCAGAGCATCATATCTATGTGATTTACGCGTACATCCAGATTAGTATGCTCATCAGAATCAATAGGCAATAAGATAGGACACAAGTTCTGTTACTTTTACGGTTTAAATAACGCGATAAAACATTCAAAGCGTTTTCGAATTCAATGTTTTTTATAGTTTGAATATGCTCAAAAATTGCCATTACTGTTTTGAATAAATAGCAATTTTGAACTCCAAAATAACATTCAACCATCACTTGTTAGGTATTTGTGATAACTGCAATTAGCGACGATAAAAATGATACATGACCAGATAAATATGATAGAAAGAATGAATGATTGATCAAACTGTAGGTAATTTTTTCAGATATGAAAAGTAATGATAGCAATATATGTAAGATGGGCCCTGTACTAAGGGTGACAAAAATGCATGGAGAGCTTAAGGTCGACTATTGACTGACAGGTTTTGCATAACATAACATTGATAACTAGATGGCGCTGCTTTTAAATGAAAATAACCCTGCAAAGCTTGAATACTTTACACTGCAGAGGCACACAATAAGGTTTTTAATAGTTACAAAAATATTTAAGAAACAATAATATATTTATATTCAAATACACATAAATTATGTTAATTTTCTCATTTCCGAGGACTTAATATAGCGCCATCTAAGTCAAGTTAAGCAAACCAATTAAAAGATGGCGTCAATAATTAATAATAGACAATAATAAAAGTTATAAACTAACCCGCATTTTCAACATCATAAAAAGCGATCGGTAGCTCGGATAAATAAGAATGATAGAATAATGAAGTCGAAGGGCACCGGTTCAATTCCGGGTTATCATTTTTAAATTCAGGTTTTTTAACAATGGCTTTTTATATTTTTTTATATAAAATCAATAATAATAATATATAAATAAAATATTTGACGTTTAATATTTATAAAAGATAACAAAAATAAATGTATATATTATTTTAGAATAAAATTATATTAATAAATATATATAAATAACTTTTATAATATGTGCTAACTATTAATGTAAAAGTAACATATTTTTCTTACAGATTAAGACTAATACTAAGTTCAATTCTCATAAAGGATAACAAATAAAACTATTTTAGTGACATTATAATAATTTCAGACATTTATTTCTTAAAACATGATATTTATTTCTTTCTTATATAGTGTATACCCTAACTTAATAACTTTTCAGCTAACTGACACATTATTTAATACACTTTTTATAAGTTTAATAAGTATTTTAAATCAAAATTGTCTTGTGTTAGTCATTTATAACTTAGTTTTAAACACAATGTTCTAATACGATTCTATATATAGCAACCTTACTTCTGCAACTATTTTACCACCCCATAAAATTTAATTAAAGTATTGACTAAAGTGATTCATTTTGTGCATCGTGTTATGACAAAGGCTCATAGCTTAAGTATTCGTTCCAGAACAAGGAAGAAATTGAAGCTAGACCTTAAATCAATAACATTTCTAAGACCGGGATATAGCATTCATTAGATATGGGACGAATTGTTTATAGTAATTAATAAATAAATAATTTATTGTTTTGCAATCAATAGCATCTGTAGATATTAATATTGCTTTTATTTTTATTTCTCATATTTAGTAAAACATTAAAATTATTACTGTATAACAGTTCCTGGTTATAAAGTAGTCAATAAATTTATTCTACTAACACTAAGTTTGGACATTTATCCATTAAATAAATTATAGCTAACCCAGTCTTGTAATAGCTTAATCCTATAGTCAACAATATCTTTTCCTTTAAGAACTAGTGTAGCCGCCATTTTTATCGATCCTATTTCTCCTATCTCGCTGGCCAAGGGATAATCCGTAATGTCTGATTGCTGACTAAACACTTGCACAATTATGGAACATTACACATAGGACAATTGTCCTGCACGAACGTTATCACTAGCACATCTTCATGACATCTTTCAGCACATCTATGTAGTTTTCACTGTTTGCGAGACTGGTGATGACAATAATGCTCCAGTAATTTTCCTCATAACCTTGCCCCATATGTTGAAGCTGGTCTGAGTCAATATCACGTCTTCTGCCAGATCCAATACGGTGCTCCAATGAACCCTCTTCTTGAAACAACTTTAGATATTCATAAAGTGGCAGTCTTTACCTGTAAGGGACGTGTATTATTTATAAATTTCATATATCGATTACCATGGATAATAAAATAAATAACGAACAGTCATTTTAAAAGAATACTTACGTTTAAGCCGTTACGTTTAAGGTTCACTAGAAATTTCAGTATAATTAAATAAAAGCTTTGATTATTATATCAATATTTGAACGCAAACTCATGATACAAATAAATATTAAAAACTTGTTAAACAAATCGTAACTGAACTCACACAAATATAGTAAAGAATGTTATGATTGAACAAAATGGTTTAATTTTTATACAGTTAATATTAAATTACCCTCAACTGTTTTGAGATTTATGATCGGGTTATAGTTGCTAAACAACTTCAATATAATAAAGAGTAGGATAATTTCAATACTCTTCAAGGTTACGCAATGGTCTAATAGCTAGTGGCATCGGTTTTTATGCTTACCGAGTTCGAATCCTGGTCATTGCGTGCTTTGCTTTAAAAAAGTTTGGAATATCGTAGCATTAATTTGTATAAAAAACTAAGTTATTACTACTACTACTTAATATAACTTTGTATCTGATAAAAACTATAAATGTATATTTTTCAATACCACTAGTATACTAGCGCCATCTATGTCATTCTTGATATATTATTAAGGCAATGAAACGCCGTTCAAACGAGTTTGATTTGGAATCCTCCATGCACTTATGACACTGATAGTACATGTCCAATTGCTACCCATATCTTATTATCTTTAGATAGTTAAATCAGCACGTGCAATCTGTTTTGATCCTGTATCATATCATCATCAAGTTACTTTAATAGGTACCTCTAGGCACTTGAGCACATAACATTTTGGAGTTACGTGTTAAAATAAAAAACTATCATCATTAAACTTTTATTAATTTTTTCGCCAAACCGTCTGCTTGTGACCATGGTAGGTGTAACCCTGTCGAAATATTAAGCAAATGTCAAGTAAAAGTTACAACGTACGCGTTAAATCCCGTAAAACAGTAAAGTATTAATTATGCAGAGCGAAAGTTTAAAGTATAATAATAAAAAATATCACCAGTGACGAGTGAGCCATCGTGATGCGCGCGCGCATTACTATATCGCTTTGTTATTGTTTTCGGATTTGAAAGGTTATACATTGCCTACAATTTCGCTGTCCGGCCAACCCGACTCAGCGGACCTGCCGAAAGGTTTGCTCCTCAATGAATGAGGAGACAAAAGAACCCCGCTTTGACGCGCCTGCGCCTAAGCTGGTGGTCGCGTCCACACCTAATCGACTTCGTCGACGGGGCAGAAGCGGCCGCTCCTGCAGAAGTTAGCTCCGGACAATAATAGTCCTCTACCCTGCCCGACGCGAGGAGATTATTATCGGTACCCAGGGTGCACCGGCCCAACGACTGCTCTTCCCCCGGACTTATCCGCAAAGGACCAGCGGCCGTCGAACGCACGGTGAGGGCTTCTGCGCGCACCCCTTCAGGAGTTCCCTGAGCTGTTCTTCGTTCTATTATATTTTAAAAATGTTAATTTGAATTTTAGCTTGTAAGTACTTTGCTGTGCCCTGACAGGGTCTACAACGGCTCTTAGCTATAAGCTTTTATTGTTAACACCACATTACCTTATAGAACGCAAATAAATGAATAAATAAAAAAATAATCAAGGAGATTCCTCGACTGTTTTACGGCGGAATTTTGGAAATCGGTTCATAAATGGCGGAGTAACCGGTGAACATACAAAAAAAAAAAACAATCAGCCGAACATATGTAGTACATCCTCCTTTTTTGAAGTCGGTAAATTATGGAAAACTCCAACCAGGTTCTAAAACTGCAATGGGTTCTATCTCATTTCTGGTCTAAGTTACAATATAAAATTATTACATAGTGAATATCTTGTTGCAGCAAAAATCAAATGTCAAAGCTTATTCAGAGAGTATTTTGATGAGAGAAGCAAAGAGAAAGGAATTTGGTAAAAAACTATACTACAAAGTCAGCCTCCTCAAAAACCATGGTTCATAGACTATAAAATATGTAGAAATATCATAGTTATATCGTGCAGGACACCTTAATTGTAATAAAATCATTTTTCTGTCGAAAAAAATGAATCTCAGGCTTGTGAAATATGTGGTGTCCTTGATGATGTTTAACATTTTTTTGTTGATTGTATTAAATATGCGAAAGACAGGGAATCATTGCGCGAATTTAAGTTGAATATGTTACTTGTGGGTAGTTTTACAACTGTCCTCTCAATAGCGACTTCTTCTACAGCTATTGCATTGTTTTTTTATATATAACAATGGATCGCAAAATGTGTTGGTAAGCGCATAACTCAACAATGCCTGGACCAACTTTGCTTATTCTGTTTTTATTGCGTTTGTTATTGTCAGGAGAAGGTTCTTATCAAAGAACCTTTATTATAAAAGTAGAGGGGAAGATTAGGAAAAGCTGACCCTTGGATAGCGAGATAGTTCGACCCGTGCGAAGCGGGGGCGGGCCGCTAGTTTAAGATATTTATGCATCAGTGAGACTTTAATATTTTAGTTGTTAGTAAAAGTGTCCTAACGGGGCTGTCATGTTTTAGAGCAAAAGTAAAACTAATGATTAAAAAAATATCACCATTTTAGAAGCTTTATTTCGTTCATGATAACAAGTTTATTAAAAAGGCCATTGATACCCTGTGCGAAGAGCGAATATTCCTTTACTGTAACAAAGAAATAGAAAATTTATCAAATTAATAATAATAAAAAAAACGATTCGACGAACTATGATACATTATTAAGCTGTATTGGAAAATGTCGCACGTGTTTTTTTTATATTATTTTTATTAAAAAACCAATCCTAATGGGACAAACATTAGGATTAGGATTTTGTGGGTGCGTTTACAATCATACACTTTCTCATACACATCACACACAGGCTTGGAACAACAATCTGTGGATCACACAAAGAGTTGTTCCGAGTGGGAATCGAACCCGTAACACGTTGTGTGGTAGCCAGTTGCCCAGACACCAGTCATTGTATAGGTATAGTAAGAAGTAAGATTGGATTGGGCTATGTACATGTATATGTATACTAGCTGTCTCGGCGAACTTCGTACCGCCTTAGCATAGTATAAAGAGAAGGACAGTAGGCTATCTCCGGCCCAATCAGCGATATAATTGCATACTGTCTTAGGGTTGTCACTTTTAGCAAAATTTTGATTCAGTGTCCATAAATTGGCAAGGGTCGGGATGTTGTATTTTTTACTTGTATTGTCTGGGTACAGAGTTTGTGAGGTGTGACTCTTTATGTCGCTAAGTGGCACAGGCGGTAATATAAACTAAGCGCTAGTGTTAACATTATTTTCTCATTGTATTTTTTTAAGCCATAATGTGGTATTTTTACACATAAAGAACTATATTTATTTTAAATTAATACAAACGTAAATCATACAAATATAACTAGGTATATAACTAATCATACATTTATTACAAAATTACAAATAAGCCACAGGAAAAAACTTTCGTCGGTTTCGACTATTACGAAACGACGAGGCGTTTCGTAATAGTTAAACTTTAATGTGTAATATATTCGCATCCTTATAAATAACTTTTGCAAGTTAAGACACCCAAACACACAGCAATACGTTCTCCTGCGATTATCAGTCATTTTGTTTTGATTTAGCGGTGCCGAAAAACAGTGACGCGCGAACCTCGTGCAGCCCCGACTGGCGCACTGAGAAACGGGCCGAGATTTTGTTACAGTGTGCGTGCGTCAACGCGTAGATACTATGGCGCATACATACAAGCCGCGCGCGGTGCGTTTGTATGAAGATAACCTACTTCCCTTCTCTTTATACTTTGGCCTTAGCGTAGCTTTGATGCACTACTTATCTTACATCTACAAATGTAGATGACAATGCTTTCCGTGGTTACACTCCTTAATCTGCTGTACGTGTTTACGTCTATGTGTATATGTTTGTTTTTCCTATTCCTATAGTTATACAGGGTGTAAAAAGACACTTAACGAAGCCGATAACTACGCATACTGTAGTTCTAACTAAGTAGCTTTACGCTAAAATTATCACTGGGAAACGACTTTCATTTTTAGGTATCAAAAAAATAATAATTTTCGTGTCATTCATTGTGTGCGTAGGCTCACAGCTTACCATTAAAACGCTGTGATAAGTACGTAGGTCGACGTTTTACTACGCAACAACAAAACAATTCTGTATAATAAAAATCCTACTGAGATGCACGATGTTTTTTGTGCGGGTCTACATTTATTTATTACGTACATTACTGTTCGTAACTTCAAATGCGTAATTTATTTAGAAAAATCGAAAATTCAGGTAATGTTTGTTGGGAAAAAAGTTTTGTAATAATATTTAGAATTCGATTGCGAAAAATAAAATTAAAAATGCATCTTTGACAGCTGTGGTCTTAAAGAAAAAATGATCCAAATAATGGGTAGAATGTGTGGCTTTCGGCTTCGTTAAGTGTCTTTTTACACCCTGTGTGTTGTGAGTAATTAATGAATAAGTAAATTATATTTTTATCGACACAACATTTCAAATTCACTAAAACATAATATTTACCGGCGTTTAGAAAAAATACTGTTGCCCATTTTCAAGGTTTTGCCAGGGCATTTAACATTTTTAGCTTGATTAATATTCTTGCACTGTCTGGCAACTAAGTGGTTTGTGAGAACGCTGGATGCAAAGAGTTGAGGAGCTCTGCTGTGTGAGCATATACTGTGCCAGCAACCAGGCTGTGGGTTTTCTCCGCCATTGGGGTAGAAATCTGTGTCACCAATTTGTTTGGAAAAACCAAGAATACCGCCATCTGTGTGGATCACTTCAACGTACCGACCATCCCTGGTTCTCAGAGCATAAGGATTTATGCACCAAAGGGGAAGCGCAGGATCCAAACCTACAATTTTGGAATGTCCGAATATGTTTACTTTTGTAAAGAAATGAGACAGCTAAGGAATCGGATATGGTGATTAGAACATAATGAATGAATTGATTAAGTGCTGTTTGATACAAAACTAAAAAAAACATTGTAAAGTCTTTGCATCGATTCCACATTAAATTCTTTTGCTATTATTTTATAAATTTTAATCTTATAATGAGGAAATGTCCTGAGACCTTTTTTTAAGTTCTAGCTGACACATCATTCACTGGTCCTCATTATAAATCCTTCTAGTTACATTTAGCAATGCTTCTGCCATGGCCTCACAGAAAACTTGCGAGAAACCATTGGCAGCTCAACAGCCCACTGGTATCTCTTGCTTGCATTATTTTTGATTGTGTATTTTAGGTTACAGAAAGTGTATCATCCCCCATTCCAAATTTCTAAAAGGCCAGCTTTGCACTTGTAACTTTCTTGCGAGCGTCCATGAACGGCACTGAATTGCTTCCTATCAGGTTCTGCTCGTTTGCCATTGTATGCCATAAATACTAATACATGTATATTGTAAAAGTTACCTGTGACTCGGGCGGGCCGACCTCCAGTTTGACGACCAGCATTTCCTACGACATGAGCTCCCAAGCTGAAGCCGACTAAGTGAACCTTCTTCCAGTCACCACCTCCTTTACGGATGAGCCAGACTAAGAATTTGCCAAGGGATTGACCGACATCAGGAACGGCGAGAGTCGCAAATAAGTAGAAGGAATTAGCTAGGGCACGCCAGTCAACTACAATAACATTAACATCTTGGACTGCAAGGAATGCTGATGTAATGAGAGAATTCATTGAAGAGTTTCCGTTGCCCCACCATCCGTGAACGATCACGTTTAATCCACGTTTGGCTTTATAGTTAGACTTGGTGATTGACTTAACGTTGCCATAAACGAGTTTTTGAGCATTTTTGGGGTTTTTTCTGTAAATAGTTATGTATCGTTTGTGTAAATATACATATTAGTAGTATGCTATGCATATGTAAGTTTATAACTGTTTTATAAACAAATATGTAAATATAAGTATCCATCTGTGTGTTTAATATTATATGTTTATGTATGTTTACAATATAGCCACAACAAGTACGTAAATCTAGCTTGCTTCTTGCATCTACCACTGGATTGTGTCTGCATCACCCTAAGGTAGACTGGAAGAGAACGCTCATTGCATTAAGTCCTCCTTAAGCACAATTTTTGTCTGTGCATGAAGTTTTTAAATATATAAATGAATAGTCTCTGATAATATCAGGTGAATGTCATTATTGTAATCATCTAAAACACGTTTACTCCTAAACAAAGAATTCTAAGTAATTTTCTTTTTTTAAATTTCAGTTCTGTTAAATATTTTATTTGTGGGAACCGTGTAGATGAGAAATATTTTTGAATTAATACTATTGTAAGACATGCTAAATTTGTTGAATAATAAATTATTAACGTTAATTGACTGAGAAAATTTCTACTGGTTTCAAGACTTTCAAGTCACAAAGGACCTCTTTTTCACCAGTAGAGTGATCGTGACTCGAAACCTTTTTTTATCTTTCCTATTACCCTTATCGAACAATCAAGAAGTGTACTGTTTTAACGATTGGGTAGTTTCCTAGGTCAAAAATAAATTAATTCAACGTTTCAATACAATAAAATATTGAAAAATAACTATACTTTTATTAATCGATTGATTAATAAAAGTATAGTTATAAGGTAATACTCTAAGTTTTAGATTTTTATAGCAAGAAATAAGTAAGCTATTTGACGCAAAAATGTTATGACGTCATAACTCAGTTTTTCATACAAATTTCATAGAAAAGTATCGTTTTGACGTTTGGATAAAAGTTTTGAATTTGACTAGTTGGAAACTATTCCAATACTTTTATCCTATCCGTATTGTTTTTTTTTTATTTCGTGATTAGTGTTTAAATACCTGGTATACAGCCAATATTCGTTATTAACAGGAGTTTTTATAAAAAATCGTTCTTGAGGTTCATGTAAATCTACTAAGTGAGGATTTCCTTCACCATCCGGCATCCAGATGAAGCGAGTCACACCCTCCACGTAGACACTGTTGTCCCCGGGTGACCAGGGGTTAGCGCTGCCAGCACTTACTGTGAACAATAATATATGGAAGAATAAGAGGTGATTTCTCGTTAGGTTAGGTTATATATATATTTTTTGTATTATTTTATAACTATCGGTATATCGATTTTTATTTTTGTTCGTTAAGGTCAGGTCTAAATTATCTTACAGAAACGAAACTGAAGAAAATATTTAAAAATAATAAATAAGTAATTTTGTAAAATTCCAAGGTCGAATAATTTATTGCAATTAAAGGAAAATGCATGTATCTATTTATTTTTATTTATGGACGTCATTTTTTTATATAATATGATAGCAACCGGGCAGGTCATGATATTAATGTTGAGTTTCTGCCCTGACAAACCACAATATTAGGATTAAATAAATATATTTTTTTCTAATAATTTTCATTAATTTTACCTTTAATCTTTAAATTTATAAAACAAGAACACGTACATATCTTATACAATATGTAAGTACTTACATGCTATCAAGCCTGCAAAGACTATTAAAACCTCCATGGCTTGATATGTGATTAAATCAGTTAATATGGTAGTTCTCTTTATATACATTTATGTTCATTTTACAATAAGTGAGATTATTATAAATTTAGACCGTGAAAAGTAACATTAATTGATTGAAAATTGATAAAGAAAATTAATTTCATTATTTACTTGCAGTTTCCCGCGGCACCGCTGCAAAAAGTCTAAACAGGAAAGACACACTAATACGATTATTGTATAGTTTCATACATATAAACATATCAAAAATATTTATTTTGACGTTAAATTATTTTCAGTAAAAGAAAAATAGAGAAGATCGGGAGCCTCGACCTGAGATACGGCAGCGTAATTATTATCCAAATGCGAAAGGTAGGTATTTATAACTTATATTAAAAACAACTTGAAAATAAAGATACAATTAAGGTTCAAAATTCATAAACCTCTTTACAACGTATAGATAATGTTAAAGATTTAATTTCCAAAGTCACACACAGATGAGAAACCAATATGTGGCCAGCCCGCCATGCGACACTGTAATGAAAAATCAATTATTTAATTAAGTACCTATTATAATTGATTTTTCATTACAGTGTCGCATGGCCTACACTGTAATGAAAAACCAATTATTTTATTAAGTACCTACCTATTGTAATAATCCTGTAGGGGGCACACCCCGGTCTTCATGGTTATACTAGCTTCCACCTCCAGCTTTGCTCGCGTGGTATGTTTATAAAAAGTAGCCTATGTCCTAATCCGGAGTTTATTCTACACCTGTGCCAAATTTCATCTAGTTCATGAAGCCGTTTTGGCGTGATTGAATAACAAACATCCAAATATCGTAACTTTCGCATTTGTAATATTAGTAAGATTCTCTATGGTAGGCATCCACGGGTAGCATAATAGACCAATATAATATGTAGAAACGCCTGGACCAATTTTGCTAATTCTTTTTTGTTGTGTTTGTTTTTGTCAGGAGAAGGTTCTTATCAAAGAAAAGTGGAGGGGGAGATTAGAAAAAAGTGACCCTTTGATAGCGAGATAGTTGGACCCGTGCGAAAGGCGGCTAGTTTAATATAACATTAAAAATATGTATAACATTTTGATTATTTCTTCAAATTAAGTTCTCAGTCAATTCAGTCATCTAAATGAAACCAGTAATTGTCACTGTTGCATTAAATACTAACTACTACTATAGCTACAGAACTATCCGAACTATTCCAAACCGCGCACGACAATTCCCGAACAGGACCGACAGCGTCCGTCAAAGTGTTTCCCCAGAAAACAAAGTTCGACGAGCGTGAACGTTCGTGAACTTGCCAAATAAGTTTCGGTTTCGGCAAAAGTTTCGGCCGATTTTGGCCGAAACTTGATTTATAGCTGAAACTCGTACGAAACCGAAACCGTACTCTCGGTCGGACATTAGTAGAAAGAGCATGTGCTCGTTTAATCCTCCGTCTCAATCCCCCCTATCCTCAATTCCTCTCTAATACCCCACAAGAGGCCGCAACGAACTTATAGTAACTGCTTTGGTATTACGAGTGTCCATGGGCGGCGGTGATTGCTTACCACCAGGTAATGGAAACGTTCGTTTGACCTATGGCGTGAAAAAAAAAAAACGTTTACAGGCTGAGTTACATAAGCGCGGGAATCACATTTGAAAGTTCTTACGTTAATTGAGTCTGCCCTTCTCTAAATGCAGAAGGGGTAATGTTTACGCATTTATAATGGTACATTGCCTTACGTTCATTATATTTAATGACATCCCCATTAGTTTTTCGTTGGTCGAGGGGTAAGGCACCGCGACCTCGGCCCAGAGCAGGAGAAGGAACAGTTAGTCAGTAAGAGTCTGACACTCCTTACTATAATAATAAATAAAGTTGTGTTGATAGTAAATAAAGTTTTCATACCTAAAACATTATTTCCGTATATAAATTCCTACTAATCGCGCCTACAATAAATTATACCATACTATCTGAGTATCGTTTATGAAACGGAGACGGTATTCTTTTTGCAGGCACATTTTCTTCATGCATGTTGCAGCTAAATAATGTTCTCCGCAGGGCCCAGGACTCATACCATATTGTTGGTGATCGCGTAGTTCCATAACTATGACACTGTCAATCTCATCTGGTTATACATTAGTTTCAAGTAACAATTGCAATAACCGCTTTTGCTACTCCAAACTTGCCATAAACAAAATTACTTTACTGAATTATTTTTTGACAAATGATTGTCATGAAATTCTTCATTGTCGAAAGACCGTTGTCCTTTGTTTCTCTTCAATTTAAGCGTATTCGAGGTTACATGACAAATAAGTCAGCTTTACCATAATTTTGGATGTATGTAATCGCGTCCTACGTTTTCTCGTGCATGTAAGGTTGAGAATTTCTAATTTTTTTATGGTGTAAGGCGGCAAACAATCTGTCTGATTACCTGATGGTAAGCAATCGGCGCCGCCCATGGACACCCGCGACACCAAAGGAGTTAAGAGTGTGTCCTGCTTTTTAGGAATAAGGTTTGCGGATATTTAAGGATTGGATCACAACGCTGTGGTTGTATTTTCACTGAGATACCAACTCGTTAACAGCATAGTAATAAAATTTAAAATTAGAAATAAATGTATTTCAATTCACGCATTCAATGTTAGTGCATGTTTGGATGTTACGGTGTCAACGGTAAATTAAGTCTTTGAATCCTTTATTGTTTTTCGGAAGCCGATGATGCCACCGAGCGTGATATGTTCGTGTATGTATGTTTTTGTAAGTAGTTTCGCATGATGTAATGATTTTATAAATGTTAAAAAATTATTTATTTCAAACATACAGATTTATTTATTTCACAAATATAGATAGTATAGACACTTTTGAACGTCAAACAAAAAAACTCCGTGTGAAACACAGTCTGTCGGTCTGTTCTCTAGTGAAGCTATTTTTTAGCTTCTTCTTTCTTATCTTATTTTCTATTTGTTGATCTGAAGCCAAGTGAAGGGTCTGTATTTAGCCTCATATCATGTTTTCTTATTTGATCAATCTATTTCCTCCTAGATATTATTTTCTTTACTTTTTAGAAGGATACTATAACGTATATTAAATGTGTTCTTATAGATTATGAAAATTGAAATCAGTGCAAGGCAGCCATTTGATTGTGATTAAATTAGCTACTTAATAAGTTATCTCTGACGTGTCGTATATTAATACGTATTAGCGATAAAAAATAATAACAATGACTACTATACCTCGAATATTATTATTATTATTGCAAAACAATACCAGTTTATTAGCTTTCATTGTATTTTTGAATATTTTTAATAGTATTTTGTTGTTTATATATTTATTGGCAGTTCGACTTTGGTCCGCAGTTGTATTTAACATTGCCTCATTCTAGAAATTTCGCCTGTTCACCCCTGCATCACATCCAGATGGAACAACAATCTATGGATCACACAAAGAGTTTTTCTGTGCGGGAATCACTTGCCCAACCATTGCAATAACCGTGTAGATGTTGAGTTTGGTGAATGTTTGTGTGTAAGATTAAAAAAAATAGAAATAAAGTTTTGGATGTAAGAAAAATAATCATCGTTCACAATTAATCATGTCAAACAAAATAATTTATAGTATTAGTTGGAATATTATAATTGTGACGGTGTACATTGAAAATCGTCGATAAAAACTATTGATAGATTGCGTCACAAATCCTTCATCACCCAAAAGAAGTTGACGCGCAATTAAACACAGATAGAAAATCATAAAACGAAACTGTGGGACAGTAGCCCACCACACATGATCACTTCGACTGGTCGGAGGATCCTCCTTTTCCGATCTTAGGGAAATTCACTCTCTATTCCCTAAATCATATTGGACCTACCTATTCTTGGAACGGTTGGTGAATTAAGGACAAAATAAATACAAAAATGTTAATAAATTATTTTTTTATTGCTAAGGTATCGTTTTTATTGCCAAGTCATTAGAAAGGCCAGCTGGATCCTGTGCGTAGACCGAATATTCCGTTGCTGTAACAATGAAAATAATTATATGAAAACGAGAACGCCAAATTCCAATTTTAAAAAGTCACATCACTTAATTTGTGTGTATATGTTAATGTTTGCTTATGTCCTATATATGGGATTCAACCAGCGATACGAACTATATAAAAATGTAATAACAGTGCAGTCAAAGATCTAAGACAATTATATAGCTAATATTTACCCGCGCTTAGAAATAATGCCGTTGCCCATATTGAAGGTGCTGCCAGCGCACTGAACGTTCTGAGCTTGTTGAATATTGCTGCATTGTCTAGCGACGAAGTGGTTTGTGCGGACACTGGATGCAAAGAGTTCAGGAGCCCTGCTGTGTGAGCACGTACTGATCCAGCAACCAGGTTGAGGGTTTCTGCCACCGTTGGGGTAGAAGTCTCCGTTGGCAATTCGATCGAAGATACCGAGAAGCCCACCATCGGTGTGGATCGCTTCAACGTACTGACCAGCGTTGCCATTTAGTGCATTGGAGTTTCCACCCCAGTTAGGTCCAGCTGGGTCCAAACCTTAAATAGAAATAATGATTAATCAGTTACCACTTACGACACATTATCACTACCATTACTGTTTCATTAAAAAGTCTATGGTAAAAGTATACAAAACGTATGTCTCGTATACCTATAAGTATCCGCTCATATTCTTTTGTTGCAGTTATGCTTACCTGTGACACGAGCTGGACGACCTCCAGCTTGACGACCAGCATTTCCTACGACATGAGCTCCCAAACTGAAGCCGACCAAGTGAACGTTGTTCCAGTTTCCACCTGCGGTATTGATGAGCCAGACCAGGAAGTTGCCGAGGAACTGACCAACGCCGGGAACACCGTTCGTAGCAGTTATGTAGTTGGAATTAGCTAGGGCACGCCAGTCAACTACGATTACATTAACATCTTGAACTGCGAGGAATGCAGACGTGATCTGAGGGTTCATGGCAGAGTTGCCGTTGCTGTTCCATCCGTGAACGATTACCTTCAAGCCACGATTAG